GTATTTCTTTAAGTATATTTTTCTGCCTATTTCTTTTTGCTCCTTTGGTAGTCCCATTACAAATATGCTGGTATCCTGCATGTCTCCAAGGCTCTCTTCATTTTTCTCTGTTCTTCAGACTGAATAATCTGTAATTATGTGTCTTCAAGGGCACTGATGGCTTCTGCCAGCTCAAATCTAAATATTTATTTTATTTATTTATTGCACTTTTCAACTCTGGGATTTCCATTTGGTTTGTTTTTATAATGTTTGTCTCTTCTTTATTCTGTTTTTGGTGAATCATTGTTACAATTTACTTCTGTAAACATCATAATCATTGTTACAATTTACTTCTGTAAACATCATATTTAGTCCCTTGAATATTTTTATAGTAATTGACTTAAATATTAGTATTTGTTAAACTAAGCGATATCTGGGTTGTCTCAGGGTTATTTTCTATTGAATGCTTCCCTTGTGAATGGGCTGTCCTTTCCTGTTTCTTTGACTATCTCCTAATTTTTTGTTAAACTGGGCATATCAAATGAAGTTTTTGTTAAACTGGGCATATCAAATGAGGCAGTTCTGGAAAACTGTTTTTACTGTTGCTGACAGATTATAGTGATGATAGTTTTGTGGTTTTGTTCAGTGTCTTGCCTGGACTCATCCTGGAGAGTCTGTCCTCCCTGCAGGGCACAGCCACTGAAGTGGTTGCCTGCCCTGCTGTCCCCACTGTTTTGAGATTTTTGTTTTCATTTTTTGAGTTTGTCTTCCTAGGGTCAGTGAGCTTAGCTTAGTGGTCAGAAAATTTTCCATATATATATTCTGAGGTCGTGTGCTTAGTGAGAGGGCAAACCTCTCAGGTCAGCCAAGGTGGCCTGGCTTTCACTTTCTGTTTATGTTTTTTCAGACAAGAATTTCAAGAGCAGCCAACATGAGTAAATAAACTGGGGTTATTGGATATGTGTATTCTTCCAGATCCTATTGGGGAATGAGGGAGCTTTTTAAAGACTCTTCTGCATCTGATTCCCGAGATCTTCCTTTTATTTTTACTTTTCTGTAGTGCTGGGGAGGGAACCCAAGGCCTCTTATGCTGACAAGCAGCTGTTCTTAGATCTCCCCTTTGTATGTGGCTGAATTCTTGCTGGCTTCTAGTTGTCACAGCCTAAGGCAGAGTGCTGTTGTCCCTGCGGTATTGTCCTTAGTCCTGAGTGTTTTCAGTGTCCTCAGGTATATGGCTGTTTTGTAGAGATACCAGATCAGACCAGTGCCTTTCTCACTGGTCCTCATAGTCATCATCCCCAGAGAATTGGGGTGTGTTTGTCTTTTTGTCTGGGAGCAGCCCCAAGTTGGTGCTGCAGATCCCCATGCTGTCATCTAAGTTCAGGATTTTTTGTGAGCATGTGCTTTCTTTTATTCCTTCACTTAATTTCCTGAGCCTGAAATGGTTGATAGTTCAGCCATTTATGAAATTTTATTTTTGTGAGAATTGTTATTTTTAATTTAATATTACACACAAACCACATTAAAATGCTTTTCCATAAGGAAATACAACATTTAAATAAGGGAAGTCTAATTAAATTGGCATGGTAATATAACAAAATTATAAAGTAGACCCTGCTTTCTTCAGCCATTGCCTTTAATAGGTTAATAAACACAAATTGAAACACATGTGAACCTTGCTTGGTTTTGAGATAGTGAAGATATGTCCCGCAAAACATATTCATATAATGTTACATAAACCTAAATATAAAATCAGTTTTGAGATGACATTCACCATCTTTGTGGAATATTGACCATTACTAATGAAGTCCAATTATAAATTTTAAAAAGGGGAGAAACATTTATAGAACTTAATGAACTGGGATTATAACCAAAATGTTATTTTAACTATATCAGTTTTACTTAAGGCAGGACTGTCCAACAGAAATATTCTGTCATTCATGATCTGAATTCTGATGTATCACATCAATTAAATGGTGCATACAAAAAAGGTATGAGATTTATGTGATAATAAATAAGGCAGTGGCCATTACTCATTAGTAGCAATTTTGAGGTGAGCTGTGAAGTTTGCCCTTTCCCACTTCTTAATGCCATTGAAGATCATTTTTGTTTCAGTGATGTACTTTTTGGCATTCTCCAAATACTCTATCAGTGTATCCTCTCGCCAGGTGCTGCCTTTGTTTTGTTGGCATCTGTGCAAGAGAATCCAGCAGCCTTGACCTGTCTTCCACCCAGATAATCCTTGGAGATTTGGCCAGTCTTGTGCTTGCCTCCCTTTTCCACAGTGTGGCATTGAGCACACTTTGGAACAAAACTGTTATTGTCTTTCTCCACATTCCTGTTTTTTAAAAAAAATATCTTTATTTTTATTTATTTACTTTTATGTGGTGCTGAGGATCAAACCCAGGTCTTTATGCATGAGAGGTAAGCGCTCTACCACTGAGCCACAACCCCAGCCCCTCATTACCCATTTTTAATTCATTCTTTTTTCACTGTGCAATGAAGGTTCATGTTCAGAAGTTAGATATCCCACTCTCAGCCATTTTATTTTTACTTTTTGAGTGACATAATCTGTGACCCTCCATGCTTCAAATTACAGAACACATTGGGAAACATACACATACCCACTAGGTAAATGACTCGGTTCTTGTTCAGCTGCTTTGCAACTTGTAATTCGTAACACATTCTATCTGGAGTACCATGTGAATCTTCACTCATCTTTTTTTTTTTTTTTTAAATTTAAACTTTTCATTTTGAAATAATTACAGAATTATAGAGAAATTGCATGAATAATTCAAAGAGGTTCTATATATTCCTAGACTCACCAGTTCACATTATACCACATTTGCTTTATTTTTGGTTTAATACAGTTGTGCTTTGCTTGACTATAGGATCCATTCTGAGAAACGCATCATCGGATGATTTTTGTCATTTTACAGTGTGCTTACACAGACTAAGATGGTCGTGACAGCGTTTAGGTAATACGGGATCACCATTGTGTATGTGACCCATCGTGGACTAGAATGTCATTGTGCAGTGCTGTATTTTCTCTATTATGTATGTGTATTTTTTCTTTCGAATCATTAAAAAAAAATACTTTTTAACATATTCCTTTACCTGTCAGTACTTACTGTGTATTTGCTAAGAATTACATTTAAAATACTTCATCTTCCTACAGTTGACTCAATAATGTCATTAGGGCAGTCACCCCTTGATCCCATTCCACTCCAGGTCCACTCCAAGAGCATGCATCACATTTAGGTGCTGTATGTGTTTGGTGTATTTTAGTCTAGATTATTGTTTTCAGTCATTTCTTTATTTTCTGAATAGGTATTTGTGAAGAGTCATCCATTTATAAAGTGAATCTCAATTTGGATTTGATTGTTTTGTACATATTTTTAATATTTTTGTTTTCATTGAAAAAGCCTGTTCTGATTTTTCTATACTAAAGAAAGGTTCAGAAGGACGTAAGATCAAACAGGGAAAGCAAACTTTTACTCTTGGAGGCATTACTACTTTGTCTTAGATTTTTTGTTAAGTTTTAGTTGGGGCCTGGTGATACAGCTCAGTTGATAGAGTGCTTGCCTTGCACGCACAAGGCCCTGGGTTCAATCCCCAGCACCGCGTGCACACACACACACACACACACACACACACACACTCTCTCTCTCTCTCTCTCTCTCTCTCACACACACACACACACACACACACACACACACGTGGGCATGGTGATGCATACTTGTAATTCTAGTGACTTTAGGAAACTGAGGCAATAGAATTGCAAGTTTGAGGCTAGCCTCAGCAATTTAGCAAGGCTTCAGCAACTTGGCAAGATTGCTCTTAAATAAAAAGTAAAAACGCTGTGCAGTGCTCAGTAGTTAAACACCACTATGTTCAATCCTCAATACTAAACAAACAAAACATAGGCTTATAATGTCTTTATTATCATATAAATAGTGCTTTAAAGAATTGTGAGGGCTGGAGTTGTGACTCAGTGATAGAGCACTTGCCCAGCATTTGTGAGGCACTGGGTTCGGTTCTCAACACTGCACACAAATAAATGAACAAATAAAGGTCTAACAACATCTAAAAAAGTTAAAATGATTATCTACAAGTTCACCTATTTAGATTTTCCCTTAGAAAATTGTTTTATTTTAAAGAAAATAAAAGACTATCTGAACATGAATATTACTCAATTTTGTAACTTGTATTAAACTTTACTCTTCCCCATGATTCATGGCTTAGGAGGCAGTCTGGTGAACCGGTGCTCGGGTTGGAAACAGATTTGTCTTGGAAATAAAAACACAGTTTGGTCTGATTTTTTATATTTTTCCATCTATTTGGATTTGGTTAGCTTCTGCTCTTTCTTTTATATGGTCCTTAGGAACATGTGATAAGAGAAAAGGCTGTGTCTTGTTTTTAGGCTCTATTTCATAGTTATAGCCAGGTGCAACGATACACCCCTATAATTCCAGAGATTTGGGAGGCTGAGGCAGGAGGAACTCAATTTAGCAAGACCCTCTTTCAAAATAAAAAGGGCTGGGGAAGTAACTTAGTGGGAGAGTGCCCCTGGGTTCAATCCCCAGTGCTGCCACAAATACAAAATGGGATTTATAGTATAAATGAATGCCTGTTGTTATGTAAATGTTGGTATGTGTGAGCATTTTATCCAAACAACTTAAGGCATTCATTATATAACTGTTAACTTGGATCATTTGTTCATTGCTACTCATTTAAATACAACTGTCAGAGTAAGGACATAATAATATAATTCATGCCAGAGTAAGATGTTAGTAGTAAACATTTTAATATCTTGATCATAAAATTATTTTCAGATTAACAAATAATATACTTTTATATTTATAAATATACTTTTTGAACCAGTTACATTTATGATTTATTAATATTACTTCTTTTCCTTGTATCTTTCACCAGAAATGTCAAGCGGAAGCAGTTAAAGTCTCAGACAAAAGTAATTTCGGAGTTGGTAGGTTCTCCTGCCCAGTCTACCTCAAGTAGGGCAGCTTACTCTGCAGCTCACAAGGCAAGTGCTGGCATATCTTCAGGTATCACTTCTGGAGACTCTTCAGATTCAGCAGGATCATCGGAAAGAATGAGGAGAAGTAGACCTATATCTCTAAGAAATGATTCTGTGCTATCTGGTAAGAAACAGAACATCACATTGTTTCCTGCTGAACATCCTAGGTAACATTGCCAGTCAATGCAGGTTTAGAGGAGAGTGTAATAAAAGCATGATCCTGAAACTGAAGGTACTTAACAGTTTAGTAGTCGAAACAGAAGTAATAAATGGAATAGTTTTGCAAATGATGCAGCAACATTTTATGCAAATTTGAGTCCTCCAAATTTTAAACATTACAGTATAAATATTTACACTTTGTGTTCAGAATTTGACTTTACCATTGAGCCATATCCCCAGGCCTTTTGATATTTTATTTAGAGACAGGGTCTCGATAAATTGTTGAGACTGGATTTGAATTCAGGATCTTCCTGCCTCAGCCTCCCAAGCTGCTAGGATTACAGCCTTGTGCCTTTGCACCTGGCCCCCAGGTTGACATATTTGTGTCTTTAATTTAAAAAAAAAAAAAAAAAATTGTTGGTAATCATGCAGTTGCAAAGCTGGCCTAGTAAATTTATGCCATTGCCATTTGTTAGCCGTAACTATAACTAAGCCAGCGCTTTAGTAGCATTGTGTAAAGACCAAGTAAGTCAAGGGTCGTGTGTTTTCTCTTGTATGTGGAAACTAAAGAGAAAAAGGGAAAAGAAAGGTCTGTGTGGGAGAATCTCATGAAAATCAAAGGGAGACCAGTAGATGAAGGATAGGAAAGGGGAAATACTTCGGTATGATATTTGCCAAATTATATTATTGTGTGCATATATGAATATGTACAACAAATCTCACCATTATACAATCATTATAGTGTGCCAAATAAAAAATATGGGGAAAAAGCGCAATGTGTAAATGAGGCTGTGGTGTTCATGTCCTTTTGTGTTATAGTGGGTGATTGTGGTGAATTATGATACCATTATAATTTAATGCTTTCTGTGTGTGTTATTATCCAATATTTTATTAAGTGGTATTGAAAAAATTATAGCTACAGATAAAATTTTGGAATGAAAGTGAGCTGTGGTAAAATTCTATGGATTAACCAACTTGGCAGTGATATTTGGGGAGGAGGTCAGGTAAACAAGCTGATGTATACCATGTTGGATCTACACAGTATCTTAAGGGATACATACGTACATTATGTATGTGTGTGTGTATGTATCTTAAGGGATATACACACACACACACATAATTTTTTGGTATTGAGGATTGAACTTAGGGGCACTTGACCACTGAGCCACATCCCCAGCCCTTTTTTGTATTTTATTTAGAGACAGGGTCTCACTGAGTTGCTTAACGCCTTGCTTTTTGCTGTGACTGGCTTTGAACTCATGATCCTCCTGCCTCCTCCTCCCAAGCTGCTTGGATTACAGGTGTGCGCCACGGCACCGGCTTTACTGGATACATTTAGAAAACAGTGTTCAATCAGAGTGTGCTGGGTTAACTGAGAATGGAAGGAAAAATAAGGAAATGCTTTTCAATCAGAGAGCAGTTAGGAGGAAAACGTCAGGGGAAAAGAGGAGGCAGTTTGCACACGAACAGACTACATTTTGGGAAATAGTAGAAAGTAGAACTAAATAGGTGGGATACACACACACATTATAGATACTATCAGTTCTTACCTCATTGGATCCCTTGTAAGTGAGGAGTTCCAGGAAGATTCCCAGTTTGGAAAGGGCAAGGGTCTGAAAATAGGAGGCAGATGGTTGTTGATGGAGCTGAGGAGAAAGAGCAGTTTCACAATTTAGTGTCTGATATCCTTCTGACAGCCACTTTCTTCTCTGAAATAGAGTTGGACTAATTATGGACCAAAACACTGTCTTTTTTAACCATGTGTTTCTGCTAATTGATGAAATGTTTATTTCATTAAAGAAATGAGTGGCAGAAGGAACAGGAAATTGGGGGTTTCTGTGTTGTGCTCACACTGGTTGTGTACTTAATGAAGTAGACTAGTGGCAAAAACTGCCCATGCTGCCTAAAGGATTTCTTTATCTTGATCCCTTCCTTGTGTTGAGCATATAAAACCACCTTTTTGGATCTGAGAGCATGTGTGGTGCAGCCATGTTGTCAGGAAGGGTTGTTAGAACGTAAAATTATACTTTCTTTTAAAACTCTTCGTAAAGGTACTACAGAATGAAGTACTAATTAGGCTATTAAATTAAATTTTGTTTATAATTCTTATGAAGAAATTTCTTAAATTAGTACAAATTAGTATTGTCTTTTAGAAATACAAGCCCAGACTTGACTTGTATATTGATTTTTTTTTTTTTTTTAGTTGTAGCTGGACACAGTACCTTTATTTTATTTATTTATTTATTTTTATGTGATGCTGAAGATGGAACCCAGCAGCTTGTTTGTGGTAGGCAAGTGCTCTATTGTGAGCCATAACCCTAGCCCTGGTTACTGATTTTTAAAAACTATTTAAAAAGAAATTTTTTAAAAAAATATTTTTTAGCTGTCATGGGACCTTTATTTATGTAGTGCTTTTATTTATATGTTGCTGAGAATCAAACTCAGTGCTATCAAGAATTTTATCAGATTTTCTTTGAAATAGTTCATAAAATAATAATATTGAGTTTTTAGTAATGTTAGGAAATAATGGTTGGCTTATATGTGTATGAAGAGAATATACGTAATTAATGATTTACACTTTGTTTTTTCTTAGAAAGTGAAATGGAAGATTCCTTAGCTACCTCTTCATCCTCTTCAGCTTCAAATAGTTCAGAGGAAAGCAAAGAGAGTTCAAGAGCTCGTGAATCCTCCTTGCGTAGTGGATTGTCCAGAGGCAGCAATCTCAGGGTGACCAGAAATAGAGCTGCTCAGAGAAAATCTGGTAAGAGATTTACCAGATTTGCACAGTGGATGCTTTATTGATTATTTAGTTCACCTACTTGTAAATGTCCATTGGGTTTTTTGGAAAGAAAATCAACTTTGGCATTTTAAAAAAAAACACAAAATCACTGAAATAATAGTCACTTAAAAATGTTGAAATATGAAAACCCTTTCTAATGTTGTTATTGATTTATTTCTAGGTCCTGTTTATTTAGAAAATGGATGTGGCAGAAAAGCCACTCGAAAGAGAGTTTATTTGAGTGATTCTGATAACAATTCATTAGAGACCAGTGAAATTCTTAAAGCGAGAGCTGGAAGTAACCGAAAAGTCCTACGGAAGTGTGCTGCTGTCGCTGCCAATAAGATAAAGCTAATGAGTGACGTAGAAGAAAACTCTAGTTCTGAAAGTGTGTGCTCTGGTCGGAAGCTGCCTCACCGCAATGCTTCTGCTGTAGCTAGAAAAAAGTTACTGCATAATTCTGATGATGATCAGAGCCTCAAGTCGGAAATTGAAGAGGAGGACCTAAAAGATCAAGAACAGCCATTACAAGCAACCAGTTCTCATGCTGCCCAGAACACTGTCAATGACTCTGAAAATGGAGATTCAGAATCAGAAAGTGACTTGCGGGTAGCCCGGAAAAATTGGCACGCTAATGGTTACAAGTCCTATACTCTAGGGACTTCTAAAACAAAATTTCTTAAAATAGAATCTTCTGAGGAAGATTCTAAAAGTCATGATTCAGATGATGGACATAACAGAACTGCTGGCCCTTTAGAGTGTGGGCAGAAACTTCAGGCAGAGAGTATCTCAGAGGAAGCCGACTCTGAACCAGGAAACAATACATTTCGCAAGAATGCAAATTTCTTTAAGAAAGCAAAGATCTTAAGTGATTCCGAAGACTCAGAATCTGAAGAAAAAGATAGGGAAGATGGCAGATGTCACAAAATGGAAATGAGTTCAGTTTCAGGAAACTTGAAGTGTGAACCTCTTGGTGTGCCTCAGTGTTTGTCCGATCATGTATCTGAAACTGATTTAGATTCTGATGATGACAAAGTAAAGGAAAAGGCAAACACTGTCATGAATGGTAATTAAGAACATTTTTTTGGTTCACTGATTTAATTCAGTTTTCATTCCGTGTTAGATTTCTCAATTATTTTTCTCTTGAAACTTCTCTGTTGGTCTTTTATAGTCTCATGTATGCGTAGTTGTTTTGCATACCTATTAAGATTTCACCATTGCTGTTGATGATGGGATATTGTGGAAAAGGGCTTGAGAATATACATATGATGATAGCTTTTGAGAAAATCAGAAGCTATCCTGTATATAAGCCATGGTAGGGACAGCTTCAGAGGAGGAAGAAAAGGAGTAGGACTGGTTGAACTGTTAAGTAGTAATGATTGCAACTAACAGAACAGTCACTGGGTTTTTCTATCAGGTTTTCCTAAGAACTTCTCAATATTAAACTAAAAAATGTTTAGCACTTCTATTTTTTATGAGGTAGGTACAATTATCATGTCCATTTTGTAGATAATAACTGTGATAGTAGTGCAATGACTGTTGAATATAAAGATCATACTCCTAGAGAATGGGGATTGATAAAGTAAAAACAAGACAGCTGAAGCTAAGGTTAAGGTAGTAGGATTGAAACCTGTGTAGAGTTCACAGGAGTTTAGTCTGTATTAGTCTGCACTGCAGTTTCAAGGTCATGGGATTTGCTGTGTTTGTGAATGGGCTGAGCCTGAAAGTCACTTTAAAGTATTAAGATTTATGGGCTATCCCTTTCACTGACACTCACATCCAAGTTAATAAGAATGCTGGATTTGTTTCAAATGTTAGAATTGTTTACTCTTACTAAGATTAAACGAATACTCTTTTAATTTTTAGATTCAGCACCACAAGACAATGGGCAAAGCAGAAAAGTTTCCAGGAAAAGGGTCTGCTCCAGTGATTCGGAGACCAACTCAAGGGAGATTAAGAAGTCATCCAGAACCCGAACAGGTTCTCTGAGGATTACACGAAGTACTTCGGCCACGGCTACCAGTACTATCAGGCTCAGGGGTAATGCAGAAAACATCAGTTCAGAGACTGTATGCACCAGAAGCAAACTGGGAAGGAAACAGCCCTCTCGTCCAGCTTGTACCACAGCTAGGAAGATACTGAGTGATTGTGAGGAAGATGTACACTGTGAAGTGCCAAATGAGCGGTGTGCTTGTGACGGTGAGCCATCTGAACCTGATGCAGAAAGGAGTGCAGGAAACTTTAGTCGGTCTTTAAATGGAGACTCGGACTCTGAAGGCATTTGGAATTCGGAACACAACAGTCATATCAATAATCACAACACAAACGTACCTTCTAAGACAAAGAATTCCTCTGTTGGGTCTTCAGAAGAGGATTCAAAAAACCATGTTCCAGGGAGTGAGAACAGTAGAAAATTTTCTTCTGAGTCAACTTTTGTGCAAAAAGCAACCACAGAAAGTAATTTTGAAGAAGAATTGAATTATGGGCTACGCAGATGGAATGGCAGAAGACTCAGAACATATGGAAAGGCACCTTTCAGTAAGACGAAAGTGATTCGTGATTCACAAGCAACAGCAGAGACAGAAATAAAAAGAAAGAGACTGCATCCTGAACTGGAAAATGTGAAAAGAGTTGAAGCAACTGGGAGTACAAAGTGCAGACCTGACACCAGTCCCAAATCAACAGATCTGGGATCTCTAACGGAATCAGATGTTGACTGTACTGATAATACAAAAACCAAAAGGAGGAAAGCGAAAGGAAAAGCAAAAGTAGTTAGAAAAGGTAAAACTTTTACAACTAACGTATCTAAAACCGTGAGACGGCAAAGACAAAGCAAACGCCCTAGGTTAAATGTGGATGATAATGACTGGGAGGATTTGGACTATACAAAATCTAAAAGAGTTCTTCGACGTTCAAAAATAAAAACGAGAAATCAGGGTAGAAGGACCGTGAGATACCACGATGGGGATGATGATAAAAGCTTAGAAAATGTGTTAGAGTACAATGATTGCACCTTATGACCTTGAGGGAGAGCCAGTTCATTTAAGGAGGAAATGGACTGGAATTGATGGTGAAAGCTGGCTGTTGAAATTATTTTTGTCTTACAATTCAGGGAATATATTTATATTTTTCTATGAAAAGTTATGAATGTGACTAAATCATGACTGTTATTTTTGTTTGCACTTGCTGGTCTTTGTAGCAGCATTTAGCACAGGTGCCAAAATATGCTTCATTTTGGGGGCAGATCTACTTTGACAGTATTTGACTACATATAGCAAGAGTTTGAAATATGTTAAACACTAGACGTCCTGGTTATCAAAACCGATGAGCATTACTTTCATGGTAGCAAGTGTCAATGCAGTTATTTTCTGAATTTGTCCAGAGGTGGTAGTTTCTATCCCCTGTCCTATAGTAGAGAACAATTTCACATGACCTATGTTTACAGATTCTTCGTAAATATTATGTGCATACTGACATTATAATCATGGGAAGTATAACCATGATTAGTAGGCAAGGTACCTACCACCGCCCCCACCCCCGCCCCCCCATCCCGATTTCCCTGGCTACTTGAGTAGAATGCATTATTACCAGATTTGGTCATTTTCATTGAAATGGTTTCCAGTTTTCTTTTTAAATTCTTTTGGGTCTTTTTTTCTTTTTAAGGAAAGTATAATCACTTTTATTTTATAAACTTGAATTTATAAAGTGCTGGTAAATTATTTTTTAATGTTTTGAGTGCATATTTTAAACCTCTAAGGCCAGAGCATAGTCATTACATTTTCTTTTAAATTGTGCACTAACAAAATGTTATGTAATTTGTCTTCTGTTGGTTTCTATCGTAAGGGATTTAACCAAAATCTTGCTCTTCCATAATCTTACTCTGAAATAGAGGAGTTTGTGTGCCTTAGATTTAGGGAAAGTATGTTCTTTAGCAATGTACAGAGCTGAAAGAGTATTTAAGTTCTATATTAAAATTTTAGAGCTGAGTTTTGCTGAGTGCTGTTGCAGATGGTGTTTGTGTAAGAACAGAAGTGCTGTTCTCCAGCTCTGTTGTAGCTGACTGCTGTTAGGTGCCACCCTGTGGGTTCTTCTCTGGAGCAACTAAGTCTCTATAGTGACCTCTAGTCTAAATATAAGAAACTGTCATGTTTTGTGAGAAAATGATTTTTGAATGCATTTAAAGTTTCAACTTTATCACATCATCCCAGATACCATAGTACACTTATTTTCAAGCCAAATACTTTTACTTGATAGGTTATGCTACTCCAGACAGTGTAGGAACCATTCCTAGAGTGTTTGTGCCTGAAATGGTTTACATTTTTAGTAGTTAAAAGGTCTGTTACAGTATTGTACCTTTTAAGTGACTTATTGGCACTAATTGTGTTTGGTTTTAGACAAAATTAATCCTCTTTTTCTATGTTTCCTTGAGGTGGCAGACAGGAAAAATATCTGACTCTGGTATCAATATTAGAGAATTTTCTTAAAGGGTTCCTATTTCTTAGTTGTCCTATTCCATTTGACATAGTAGGAGGTATTTTTCTTTCTAATCTGATGCAAGGGAAGGATGATTTTGGACATTATATATATTTGTCCTATAGTAGAGAACATTTACCTCTCATTTGGTTTAGAAACCTCTGTCACCAAAAGGATAATGCTTTTCTTCAGAGCTCCTGTTAACTGTGCAGGAGAAGACAGGATGATTTTCTTTGTTGACCTGAAAAAAGTAGTGGGATGCCATTTATATCCCTAACTTTAAGAACTGGTGATAGTCATCAGATCCATTCATTTATTTAAACTCTTCCAAAGCTTCTCTGTTTTATATCTGTTCTCAGGGTTATAACTCCATGTTTACCATCATCTGCAAAAGGGTACCAAAAGATCCATAAATAAATATGAAATATTCATATGTACATAAATTCTTTTGTCACAACAATACATTGACAGTTTCAGCATCATTAATAGAACTGTTTTTGTTCTTTGAATTAACTGATCATTCAATGGCTGGTCAGTTAATGTAATTTTTCTTTTTGGCCAAAATGGTTAGACCCGTGGGTATAGATTTAGTATTTTGGTTTAACAGTATTGTGTTTTATCAGAAGAGGCAAGAATGATACCTGGTGACTTTAAAAGGGAGGTTGACAATGGTGGCTTCTCAAATTCTGAAGTAAATCCAAGGGCTTAAGGAGAAAAGCGTTCTTACGGGGTGTTTGGTTATGGTGCTATTCCTAAGGTTAACTTTAAATACGTAACACACTCCTAAGTACCTTTAAGGAAAATTAATAAATAATAGTTAAAATGTTTACAATGAGCACTAGAACATGTTTGACTTTTTTCTACTTTATGCAGAATGCGCAGGGACTTAATGCACAGATGTACTTTAATGTTTAGGATTGGTCTTTATTTCTCTTGAGGAAGAGACAAAGGTGACAGCGAATGTGAACTGGTCCAGGACAAAGTGCTGTAGCTTTCTATTATTGCACTTGAAGTAATTTGATGGTGTATGTGAAAAAATAACTTAAAAACCTGGTTGTGTATGTCCAAAGTCCTATATGATTTCATTCATTTATGGATTTTTTTAAAAAAAGGGTTTTGAAGTATTCAGGTTTGGTTTTTACTTCCTTTGAAAGATTAATTATACCAAGCGTATTAAGAAAAAAAAGATTGCAAACATTTAAAGGTGAGGTTTAAAAGGTGTTTTCCCCCCATATTCTACTTATTTTAAAAGGGTGTGTTGACAATGTGTAGTAACTTATGAATAAAAGAAAAATTTATCCCATTTTCAGATAATTCCCAGGGTGGTCGTTCTATTTTTTTTTTTTTGTATAAGTGAAAAATCTGTTATTAAATCTTTTGTTTAATGTAGTAATCCTCAGAATGATATTACAGTTATTACAGAAGATGAAAAATTATGACAAATATATTTTCCAAATAGTAGAGAGTTGTACCTAAAAAAGGAAATTGGTTTTTAATAAGAAAATGGAGGAAAAGACTTAGTTTTAGGGAAAACAAACTTGAAAACCTACAAGCACAAATGGGAAAAGGGGTTATGAAACAAACCAATGAAAATACTGAGGGCAGCACTGCCCAGACATTAAGATGTACCACAAAGCCCTCTAGACTTGGTGACATTTCACCTAGGGTAACACTGTGTGCACACAACATTCCTGGTCCCTCTTCAGCTTTTATTTTCTCTCAGAACACAGTTTATTAACTCTACTGGTATTGAAAACTCTTGAAGGATTTTAATCTCTTTTGTCAGTATAAGTTGAATTTGTGTCAACTGAAAAAAAGTAGATGTTTATTAGGAGAATGCAAAAGCATTGTTAAAGGTACCTGCAACATTTTTGTTTTCCTTTCTACTCCACTGTTTTTATTTTTTTTTCCAAGTGACTTTTTTGAATGGCTAGAAAATGGTCTTTTTGCTTTGCCCTTTTATAACAAATAACAAGCTCCATACTTCCCGTCAATAGTTGGTATACTTTTCAAATTTTTGTAAAGAAATTACAGTTCAATTATTCTAGTATGATGGAGCACACCAACATTGTGGAATAACTTGCTAATTATTATTTAAACTATGCTGCTAAACTGCTGTGGATATCAGGAAATAATAAAGCAGAAACCCTTTGAGTTTAAAAGACTGTCTCTTATCTTAGTATTGGAGAATTTAAGGACCAAACCAAATAAATTGTCAAGACTAGGGAGAAAATGGAGCAATCTGAAACAAATGTAGAATCCAACTAGATTAGTAAATATTAATCCTACTTGTAGCTCAAATTGTGAATTAGGACTGAAGAGTAAAGAATATAATGGTGAGGGCTCTGTTGTCTTCTCACATTTTAAGAAATTTAAAGCTCTTGCAAATGCTGCTTAAGGATACAAGGGTATTCTCAAAATGGAGACTTTTACTAGGCTCATAATCTACAAGCTATTTTCTAATATATTGTCAACCTGGTATCAAAATATCAAGATTCATAATTGGTGTCTTTTCAAGGATTGTTTTTCGGGATTTGATGGTGGGTTTCGGGGAGGCAAAATATTTGGATCCTACAAATCTGCATCATTGTCTTTAAGCATGTAAGTAACCATAGACTACTTCTTTCTCAACTGATAGTTCATTGAACTTATTTACCAGTGCTTCAGTATACTTCCCAGTCATACTTTAAATTTTAATTTTAAGGTAAACTGTATCATTTATTAAAACTTTTAAATGGAAATCCATACTACCAAAGAAAGAGTTAATATCATGGATTAAAGCAGCCTTATACTTTGGTTCCTTATACTTTTGGTACTTATAAATGGTTTAGAAATTACCTTTTCTGATCAGTGATTAAAAGTTGAAGGGATCTTTGATTTTTTTTTTTTTTTTTAGTATGTTTTAAGTATGGATCAGTGCTTGGGCTGCACCAACTCAGTCCCCACCCCCCTGTACTGAGGATTGAACCTAACAGTGTTTTACCAAATGTACACCTCCAGGGCACCATCCTAACCCCTTTCCTTTTTGAGATAGAGCCTTGCTCATCTCCTCTGGCTGGCCTGGAACTTGGTTGGGTTCCTCCAAGTTGAGCCTCCCCAGGCTCTGGGATTATAGGTGTGTGCCACTGTGCCTGGCTTCACCTGCAGAATTTGACCCATTTTATTATAAAAGCCTACTAAAAAAGCAAATCTTCAATTTTTCACTCATAAGATTGTAGTGTTCTAAAGTAATCCATGTAAAGCATTGCATTTTAGTTGAGGACTAAAATGGTAAAAAGTATAACAAATGTAGCTGTCATAGTAACAAAACAGGTAGATTTTTTTTTTTTTTTAAATCCTCTCCAAGCCAAGTGGGTCTGCAGATAGTGTAGTCAGTTTTCCCTGAAGCTTGTGTTTGCCTTTCGTACTAAGTTGTGCCCCAGTTTTGTCCATGGGTGATTTCGTCTTGTTAATGCTGATAAAACACACCTGCAAATTGTAGGTTTCAGCCGAGGAAACTTCAGGGGAGTGAGGAACCATGCTTGAGAGGAATTTGGTGTGGGTTTGTTTGCAACCCTGCTGCTTTGCTTTAGGAAGTGATGTGGACTGAACACAGTTATTTACTTTTTGATAGTTTCTCCTGCCTACATTTAGTTTGAAATACTGAGATATTCTAAGAAGTTAAGCAGGTAAATATAAGGCACCTGAACATAAAGTTTAAAAGATTTAGATGACAGTTACAGTAACCACCACAAAACTTATGGGAGTCATGACTAGTGTCGACCAATTAAATATTTCTGAGTAAGGAGAGAGAACTGCTTTGTGATGTGCTATAATTATCCGTGATGAGGTGAGTAAAGTTGAAGGTTGTGTGGTACCTATGCCCCCATTGAGTGAATTGCACACTAACAGTGACTAAACTGGTAAGGAACAATTTGGATTAAGAGAATTATTTCTGAGCCTGGACCTGACACTGCCATACTGTAGAAGTTAACATTGCAGTATTAAACTGTCTCCTAGGAAACAAATTTATTTGAAAACACTTGCTTCCATAACCATTCTCTAAAAGACTTGAGTTTATGGGATCCTTTTGGAAACTTGTGTTATGGAAAGGATGAAGGTCATCGGTAAATGATATTTGCCTTTGAGTTTTGGGTAATTTCATTGCTTTACAAGAAGAGGGCACACTTCCAGCTGATTCTGATACAAGGCTGGCTTGGGGGAAACCGTGATTGGAACTGAAAGGTTTACCATTGTTTAGGTTTGATAATGTCAGTGCTGTGAAAAGTATATTTGGAAATGGGCGAGTATAGTTTTGAGTCAGGCATTTTTTTTAAACCCTTC